CTAAAATGTTTTTAGTAGTTCTACTACTTGTGTGTGTGTGTGGGGGGGGGGAGCACTGGTATTTCTGTCTACAGTGATTCTGTAAAGGTGCTTGTTTAATTTTACTGGACTTCTGTTCTTATTTACTTAGATGAAACCACCCTTGTCATATCCTTTGGGTATAATTTTCTATAGTGATAGCTGTATCATACTGATACTTTTAGAGCCACCAGATTATTGACAGTACCAAGCTTTTCCATGCTCCTACCTTGGATTTGATGTACAGGCATCAGTGTTGCCAGGAACAGGAATCTATGACACCTCTCTCCCAAATGCTAAGTTGTATCTTCCAATATTCTTTAACAGTAGCTAAACTGTTGGGGCTTATGGGAATTGTAATTCAGCAATATCTGGAGAGCTATGAAGTCCTCACCCTTCGTGTGCATTAAAATGTCTTTTTCATGTGCAATTTTGCCCTAGAAGTCCTTGGTTTACTCTTATTTATTTGCCATAGGTTATATGCAAATCCACACCATAGATACTCTGCTTTCCTCCAAATAGGTGTAATTATCATCCCATTTTATCCTACCAATAACACTAAGAAGGAGATTGATTGAGAAATAGTGACTATTCCAGATTCACCTACCTTATTGAGGTTCTGTGTTTGATTTGAGACTGAAACTAAGTATCCTTCATTTTGGTCAAGTATTCTAACCATTAAGCTACAATGGCATCAAAAATGTCCTTAATCTCTATAATTCATCTGTAGTTAGCGATGACATTCCTGTTCACATTCTAAATTTATAAATAAATCCATCTGGATTTATTGCAACTGATATAACCTTATTCAAAAGAAATTGAGTCACTGATGACCAAATATCCCAGTTTAAATGCATAGTATATTCCTCTTTTGTCTAGAGATGAATGGATTGGCTGCTACCAGGAGACCAGAACAGGCAGGAAACTGCATGGATAAATAGGTATGCTAATAAATTAGGAAAGATCAAGTGAGAAAAAGGAGCCTGTTTGGTGTAGTGGTGAAGGCATCAGGCTAGAAACCAAAGCCAGATGGGTGACCCTGGGCCAGTCACTCTCTCTCAGCCCTAGGAAGAAGGCAATGGCAAATCTTTCCAAGAAAGCTGCAGGGACTTGTCCAGGCAGTTGGCAGGAGTCAAAAACCGACTCAAAGGTGTATGTGCACATACGCACAAGTGAGAGAAGTTGCAAAAAGGCCTTCCCTGCAGATGCTCAATAGAGAGGCAAGTGACATGAGTCCTAACCAGATGAACTCTTAGTAGGGCTCTGAGGGGTCTCCTTATAAAATGCAGTCCCTGGAGCACCCACCTCATTTCTTTTATGGCTTCTGATTAAAAGGCAGCAAGGAGTTCTATGGGAGCTCAAGAGATACACAGACAGTTGGAGCCTTTGGAAGCAGATGATTCATAGAAGATAGCCAAGTGAGAACTTTTGCAAGTTTTCACCCACTGAAGTCAGAAGAGGACCTTTGAAAAACTGCCTTTGCTTTATTAGATTGGCTAGTATAAATCAGGAGAAAAAGCAGATGAAGAGTCCAGGTGAAACTTAAATCTGTGAAAATTTATTGTTAATTGGAGGAGGGGAGGATTGCCCCAACAGCTGTCCTTCTCTCTTGGCCCCAGATGGGTTTTGTAGTCAAGGTAGGTAATTAATTCAAATAGAGTTATGCCAATATTTGGGTTTTCCCCACACATTTTTGGACCACTGGCTCCAAAAGACAAGTAGAAGAGAGAAAGAGGTGAAAAAAGCAGGGTGTGTGATGGGTGGGTGTGTTTGTGTGGACACATGTGGGATAAGCACGGCACATGAACATTCTGTCCCCAGGCCCTTCAGAGATCTGGATGACAGTTCTTGAGGGCATACTCAGAACAGTGAGTGCAGGAGGCTTTCCAGGGGTGGGTGGCTCTTATTATCAGGAGGTTGAATGAGGACCCAGGAAGACAATTGAAAAGGATCCCCAAACCAAGGCTTTCCACGCTAGATTTTCCTCCTTCCCCCATCGTTCCATTTCTAGTATCAGAAAAATGTGTGAGGGATGCATAAAAAAGCCATGAGGAGAAAAAAACCAGGAGTAGAGAAGTTTTTTGCACCTTACCACATGTTCTTTCTTTAATGTAAAAATTAGTTTTCCTGCACTTGCCCATCCTAATGGGCCAAAAGTGCATCTACTCATTTAGATTGTTTGCAATCTATTGCCAAGTTTCTTAGTTCTGAATTGTTACATTGTGGAAGGGAGGGAGGGAGGGAGGGAAAATGGGATATGAAGTGTTCAAAACAAAGTTTAGTGCACAGGACAAAAGTTAGAATGAATGGATGCATTCTGCACTCAAGACTTTGTGGTGAGTATCTGTTCCATATGTGTTCCATAAGCCTCCATGAAGCCATTCAGTCTAAAGCACGGTTTCTCAACCTTGGCAAGCTGGCTGGGGAATTCTGGGAGTTGAAGTCCACCTGTCTTAAAGTTGCCAAGGTCGAGGAACCCTGGTCTGAAGACTAAATCATTTGCAGTTAAGATGTACCACTGCAAGTAATCCAAATTAAGCATCTGCACATTAACAAGCACGAACCTTACTTAGAAATGGCAGTGGTGGGAGGCCAGGAAGGAAAAGCATGTGCCCATTTCTCAGGTTCTCAAGGAATGAATGTACAAACGAGGACATTAGAAATTGGGGGCGAGGGGTGGACCCAGATGTCACCCTCAAATTCCAGTATCAGCAGAATCTATTGCAAGTTAGATCAAGTTTGGACTACTGTTGCTGGTTAAGATTAGGGCAAAAAAGCGTTCATGTTAAACAGGAATCTTCCTCACGGATGAAAGCTTTCTTCCATCTCCAAAGAACTGGTGCAGTGCAAAAGCGTCGCACGAAATACGCTGGGATCCACTTCTTTATGGAAACGACACGCCTGATTATTCGGGAGGCGATAGGAGAAACAAACTTCTTTCAAGTAGGGGAAATCGACAACGTTAAAGGAGAGACGTGGTTAGGAGGGGCAGGGTAGAGTCAATATTGCAAACCGAAGCTGCGAAGAACAGCCGCTTTAGCCCGCACCGCGCTTTACCAGCCTTACCTGCGCGCTCCTTCGGACCAAGCGTCCCTTGGAGAACAGGCGGCCCTGATTCTCTTTTTCTCTCCAGCGAAATAAACGACAGTGCCCACTTCGCGGATTTTATGGAAGGCGCGCGCCGGGCGCCCTGCTCCTCCTCCTCCTCCTCCTCCTCCGCCAGCCGGGCTAAACCAAGGCGTGAATGGAAGGAGAGTGACTGGCTGGCACCTGGTATCCGCAGCCCGCTGGGCGCTCGCGATAGCCCATAGGAAGGCTCCGCCGGAGGTCCCAGGCTATCAAAGTTAAGCCGGACAACCACCGTAGCGAAACAGCTAGAGACCGTGGGGGACCAAGCGGTTCTCGCCTAGCTTTCCTCCTAGAGATCCTGCCTCCCGCGGAGAACTTAGCTGGCGGGCGGCCCGGTTATAGCTTCCCTTCTCTTAGCTGTGCCAATCCAGCTCTTCCCATTCTTTTGTAGGGTTGATCCCCGGTTCTCCAGGTCGCCGCTCCTCCTCGCTGCCTGCCTGCCCGCCCTCCGAGTTCTCCTCCGAGCGCTTTGGGCGCACTCCTACTTGGGAGAGGAGAAAGGCCCCGAATTCCGCTTCTCTGAAGGATGGCGGAGACGGGTGCTGGACTTTCCCGGAACGCCTGGGGCTCGGCGATGGCTAGGGAAGAAGCTCGACCACCAAAGCATCTGACTTTAAACTGTATTATCCAATTCAGGGCAAAGTACAGAGCTTTGGGCAAATTTATGTAGTAATCAGATATGAAATGCATGTCCCCTTCCTTTTGCCCTTTTGCCGCAAAACAGGATTTAAAACGGATAATAGTGATAAATTTCGGGTTTAAAAAAAAACATACAGACACAATACCAATTTATTGGTCATGAAATCTTAAAATCCCATCATGTCAAAGGTTTGTTCAGCACTTTTTGTCTTGAGTTTTCCTTCAAAAACAAAACAAAGCAAAACAAATTGTTTCTGAAGATTTTTTTTAAAGTCAAGTGGACTAGAAACCTGGAACTACCCCAATGCTAAGCCATGCAAATTTCATAGGTAGGAAATTTTATATTATGTCAGGAGTTAGTTGTCCATCTGAACCAATATTTTGCAAAAAAGTACTCCCCCTCCAACACTGTTACCTGATCACCATTACCTGATTAATCTGGACTGACTTTAGACTTTGGTAGGTGAGTTTGTCTGCTCTGCCTGAAGCTTAATTTTGTGTCCAACAACATACGTATTATTTCACTTCATAGATGGAATTGCTTTTTAAAAGTTTTCACCCTAGTAAGGAAAAAGGACCTGGGAATAATCAACCCACTTTAGTCTTGTCTCTACTAAGAGTTCTTCGTAGCCCTAAGTGCAAGTTCTGACTTACCTATAGAGATCACAGTAAGAGTTAACATACACACACACACACACACACACACACACAAACACAGAAATAGTGTTCTTTTCAACCTTCTCCAAAGTAAGAAGAATGAATGTACTCTTTGATCACAGTTGTCCCAGCTTTAACCATATGCAGAAGTCTCACTACTCATTTCTGCTTATAGTCAGATCTTCACTGATAAATGGATTCCATCCAATTATTCCTGAAGCCTGCATAACAGAGAATTTGTCCCTGCATTGAGAACATGTACCTTTCACTGAGAATTCAGAATATGTGAGACAGAAAAGACAAGGCTTTTAGACTCCTTTTCTGTTCCAGTTCTGCAAAACTAATCAGAGGACTTCAGTGTTAGCTGGGA